CAATTTGGGTTTTGGATGTGCACACCTTTTTTTATATTTTCCTTCAAATCAATATCACAAAAATCTGAACTTGTATTAACCATTATTACCTTGCCTAATAAACAGAGGAGATTGCTGATCTCACTGAACAAATTGGCGAGAGTGGAAAGAACATTCATGAGCTTGAGAAAATTCGTAAGCAGTTGGAGCAGGAAAAAGCTGAAATTCAAACTGCTTTGGAGGAAGCTGAGGTATACCTAAATATCTAATTGGTGATATTTTTTGTGTTATCTGTGTATTTATTCAAAAGATTAAAATAAGGGTATATTAATAGAAGTGAACATGTTTTTAAATAACTATATTAATTGATCTGTCAGGGCTCCCTTGAGCATGAAGAGGGAAAGATTCTAAGAGCTCAGCTGGAGTTCAATCAGGTCAAAGCTGATATTGAACGTAAGCTGGCTGAGAAAGATGAAGAGATGGAGCAGGCCAAGAGGAACCAGCAGAGAATGGTGGATACCCTGCAGAGCTCACTGGAATCAGAGACTCGCAGCAGGAATGAAGCTCTCAGACTGAAGAAGAAGATGGAGGGAGACCTCAATGAGATGGAGATTCAGCTCAGCCAGGCTAACAGACAGGCATCAGAAGCCCAGAAGCAACTCAAGGGTCTTCATGGACATCTCAAAGTATGACGAATCTTCAAATTAAGATATTATAATGATTAGGTGAACATAGTTTTGCTGTCTTTTAATCTGTAAAAGTTTTATTTCACAGGATGCCCAACTGCAACTAGATGACGCTCTTCGTAGTAATGATGATCTCAAAGAGAACATCGCCATTGTGGAGAGACGCAACAATCTGCTGCAGGCTGAACTGGATGAACTGAGATCCCTGCTGGAACAAACTGAGAGAGGAAGAAAACTGGCTGAGCAGGAACTGCTGGATGTCAGTGAGAGAGTTCAGCTCCTGCATTCTCAGGTATGACACATCTGCATTAGACAAATAAAACCTTTCAACCCATTCTTAATATCAATATCAACTAGAGACTACATGAATGTCCATATTGTCCATGTTCAGAACACCAGCCTACTGAATCAGAAGAAGAAGCTGGAGGGAGATAATACTCAGCTTCAGACTGAGGTTGAGGAGGCAGTGCAGGAGTGCAGGAATGCTGAGGAAAAAGCCAAGAAGGCCATCACTGATGCTGCCATGATGGCAGAGGAGCTGAAGAAGGAGCAGGACACCAGTGCTCATCTGGAGCGCATGAAGAAGAACATGGAGCAGACCATCAAGGACCTGCAGCACCGTCTGGATGAAGCTGAGCAGATCGCCATGAAGGGAGGCAAGAAGCAGGTCCAGAAACTGGAGGCCAGAGTAAGTTTCTAAAACTCTGTTCTTAATGCATTTTTCTATATTTGTATGTTGGTTGCTATTCATGAATATTTGTATTCAGAGCTTTAGAATTGGTGTGTTTAAAATAGTTTGGGATTTTTCTAGGTGAGAGAGCTGGAAAATGAGGTGGAGCTTGAACAGAGAAAGGCGAGCGAATCTGTGAAAGGTGTTCGTAAATATGAGAGACGCATCAAGGAGCTCACCTACCAGGTCACTTTCTTTGGCACAAAAAATGTCTTTTTATCATGCAAAGATTTTATAAAACAACATAAATTGTGGTAAAGTCAATTTATGCTCTATGACTATATACAGAGTTGGGAGGGTTACTTTAAAAATGTATTCCATTACAGTTATCCAAGCGCCACAAACGTAATCCAAGCACCACAAAGTGAAAGTAAATAGTGTAATGTAATCTGATTACTTTTGGATTCCTTCAAGGTCACATATGTAAATAACGTAAAGAAAACAAGTAATATTAATGACAATGATTGTCACGCACCAGTAGGTGGCTCGTGTGAGTCATGATTGGCAACAGAACCAGCTGGCAATTAGAGATGCGCGGATCAGTTCTAACGTCAACCTTATTTGACGTTTCCCACTCGAATGTATGGTTTTCTCTGATTTAGATATCCGCACCGGATCGTCACATTACAATAATTCTAATTCTCAGTGTTAAGCGAGTTGATATGGTAACATATAACACTGAAGTAGGCTGCTTTTAAATTGACATTTAGCTATTTAAAGTAAAAGTTCTTCTTTGGCAAAATTGCATTTCCTTAATAGCCTAAACACAGGCTTTACTCCCTTCAAACATAAATTGTCACTGTTTCCGTCATTGCAACTTCCCCGAACACACACACACAAGAAATTAAATACATTCATCCCAAGCAAAGGCTGGATATAGGCTTTATGAGTTTATTGTCAAATACATACAGGGCTGCACAAGCCGTTATATATCACATGCCTATCACTTGATTCGTCCTGGTTAACTATTTCAGTAAAACGCTCCCACACGGTACTTTTCTTTCTTTCCTTGCTTATTTGTTTTTAATTCTCCTTTTGGAAATTTCTTTTGGATCTGTTTTGCCTCCATCACTGCTTACGATGGACCCCGCAACTGTGTAGCTTAATGAGAGTATGCAAATTAGAGCCAGATAAAAGATTACACGTTCTTATCAGAATCATTTTTTAATTGTTAATTGTGTATATTTTTAGAAAGCTATCAAGTTATTAAGCTGCTCTAGGCAAATCATTTCCTTGAATGAAAACGCAAGTTCGTTGTGTTTTACTGTGAAATGAGAGTTCTGTGTCTTTATAAAAATCAACACATGAATTATTTATTTCTCATCGACCTGCGACCCCATCAGCTATTAATTAGAATGTTATTTTTTTTTATTTGGCGGCCCGACGGGTATCTCCACGGATATAACCGGGATCCACGCTGTCAATATAGCATTATAATGTCAAAATACTAACTAATTTATTTAGTTTTAAGTGAAACCATTGAAATCCTGATAGCATTTCCATTTTTTACAAAATGTAAATTTTTTTACTGTAATCTGATTACTTTGTTTTTTTGACATAACTATAACGAATTACAGTTACCTGATTACGTAACGCCGTTACATGTATTCCGTTACTCCCCAACCCTGACTTTATATGCAGACCGAGGAGGACCGTAAGAATCTGGCACGTCTTCAGGATCTGGTGGACAAACTCCAGCTGAAGGTCAAATCCTACAAAAGAACTGCTGAGGAGGCGGTATGTTTCAGATAATTTCAATAAAAACGTATGCATCTAATCATGCTTTACGCTGTGTTGAAACACCTTTGGTGTTCCCGGTCAAAAATGGCCGGCCTTTTAAAAATTGCTTGTAAATCCCTCGTTATGTAATATTATCACCAAATATTGGGTTCAATCTTTTTATCAACTTGTTTTCTTTTAATTAGGACAGGTTTTGTATTTATTTTTTCAAACTGATTTATCGCTTGCAAAGATAAAGGCCTCGAACCTACACTCAAGCTACCACACACACACACGTTTATATACACAAACAAACAATTTTACGTATTACAATCTTTCTTTTTAACAGAGATGAACTTTATCCTCAGATCAATGAGGCCTGCACACATGATCATATATGTGAACATGATGAACATCATATTTCATATTTGACCAGGAACTACACAAGTGTGCCATTTTGATAAAAGCATTTCAAAACAAACTTCCTGGTTAAACATTAAAGCACACTAGTGTGATAAACAGTGCAATTTAATTTTTTTTTATACTGAAAAAATTATCCACAAATATTGCCTTTTTCACTTCAAAACTGAGGTGCATAAGGTCAGATCAATGAGGCCTACAATCAATCAGTGCCAAAAAGGATTACAAAACCTGTCCTAATTAAAAGAAGACAAGTTGACAAAAATATTGAATCCAATATTTGGTGATAATATAGCATAACGAGATTTATAAGCTTTTTTTGTAGGCCGGTCATTTTTGACCGGGAACACCATAAGGGTAACAATGTGGGGGAAAAATCCCAACAAAGCACAACAATTATGCAAAATAAATAAATTGGGAAGTAGTTATACCCCATGTGAGTGAATTCAGTTAGTTTTACTCCAAGGCGATAACATTAACTAACATTTTTGGGAAAAAGAAAATCCGAACACAACTTAAGGGTTAAAAACAATTAAAACGGCAATGTCAGGAGAATAAACTACATTTGCTTTAACGACCTTTGTTTGAAATTAGTTGCACAAAATTTTAATTAATCTGGAGACTAAAAATATCCCTAGTCCCTTTAATTAATGAATAAGGTTGATTGCCATGATTTTCTGTTCTTGTGATGAATAAACGTGGATTGTGATGAAATTAAAATGTGGTAACAATTTAGTTTAGAGTTCTCACTATTAACTAGTTGCTTATTAGCATGCATATTAATAGATTATTTTGCATGACCATATTCTACATCCCTTAATCCTACCTAATACCTAAACTTAACAATTAACTTACTAACTATTAATAAGCAGTAATTAGGAGTGTATTGAGGCAAAAGTCATAGTTACTAGTTAGTAATAGTGAGAATTGGACCCTAATCAGAAGCGTAACCAAAAATGTGACTTATTTTCTTGGCATGGGATTGCTTGAGAAAATATCTTCATGTTTTTACAGGAGGAACAGGCCAATTCCAATCTGGGCAAGTTCCGTAAGATACAGCATGAGCTGGATGAGGCAGAGGAGAGGGCTGATATTGCTGAATCTCAGGTCAACAAGCTGAGAGCCAAGAGCCGTGATACAGGATCCAAGGTAAGTATTTGTTGTTTCAAACAAATGTTAAATGACTTGGCAGGTGTGGTGCATACTGTCATTAACATTAACTCTAAAGCAAACTCAAATTTAAAGTAACTATTTGACTGTGGAAACCTACCCACAAAATATTTTATAACTTTCAAGTGGAAAATGACATGATGTTGCTTCGAAAAGCCTTGAGAAGCAGAGCTAATGGCAACTCCATCTTCCTACTGTGCAATCAAATTTTGCAAGGAAATATGGCAAATAATTTTAAACAATTATATTTATGGGCAAAATGTATTATATTTTCTAATAAGATAAACAAATCTTACATCTTTGTCTTTTTTTCTCCTTTGAACAGAAAGGACATGATGAGGAATGAAGCTCTCCCATCTCGCAAAATCTTGTGTGTCACTTTGAATCCATTAGTCTAGAAATAGAATAAAGAAAATGTGCAAATTAAACATCTGTCACATTGTGTTATTTTAAAACTACATTGTCATTGTCACTAGTGGTATAAACTACGTGTGCTTTACAAAGTCCAATTAAAAAGTAAAAATACTTGCTAAAACCATTTTTTCAGGCATTAGCAGACCACTACATAAATTGTCATTTATTAAAATTAGGTGTGCTGGTTAATGTAGTTGTGAGCATTGATAGCTTAATAATATGTCTGCAATGAAATCCACAATTATGCAGGTCATTATCCCAAAACTTGAGGTAACAATAACTCATAGCAGACATTATTAAAACAGGTCCAAACAGGCCCTTAACATGCATGAAACAAATAAATAAATACAATCAAATAAAATCTGTAGATAACATGATGTTGACTTACCTTTTCTAATGGTTGCAAATAGAAATAAAGCTAGCAAACACATTTCAGACAAAGGAACTGTCCATTACAGAACTACTCGAAGGGTAGGAGAGATGTGACAAGTGCCTGTTGTTTCTCAAGATGAAGCCGTGGCTCCAACAGACGTGTTAAATAAAGGAGGAGTCAGGAGAGAGGGGGATCATTAACAGTGGATGAAGAAAGTATGGCAAGTACTTGTGCTATTTTAAGAGCTTCATAAAGCTTAGCACATACAGTACTATATGTGAGAGGAGCCTCTGACGCACATAAAGAGCTTAAAAAAGCTTATAAACTTGACAATGACCATTTTTCTTAGACATATATGCAATGTAAAAAATGGGGCCAATTTGTGCATTAGCATTGTTTAATAAGAGGTAGCCATAGCTTAGGAAAGTTCAAGGTGGTTAAACAATATCATAAGCATGGCATAGAGGAGGCATTAGGTCATGTAACTTAAGTAGTTAGAGTGCAAGTGATGGACGTCTACAGATGAGACATGTCCTACAAACTATCTGATCTCTTCTATCACAGAGGCACTCAAAGGAATTTAACAGGTTATCTTTGTCCTCATGGCTAAAGTAAAGGAAACAATGCAATGTAAACAAGACAACTTGAAGGGTATGGCCCCTCGGTCAGCTCTCTGAGGGACAGCAACAGACTTCAAGCACGCTATGTGATTCACTTTTAGCCTGGGCACATGATGCAATGCATTAAGAAAACCCATACTGGTCAGAGTGCATTTTTATAGAATTTTTTAACAACTTTTTTAATACAATATTTAGTATTGTACTGTTTGAAATAATATGAAATATATTTTTAATTTGGATACATGTAAAATAAAAAAATAAAAATTAAAGTTCTAAAATGTTATTTATATATTTCAAAATGTCAACTGCACACTGAAGTTAAGAGCCTGGTTTATTGGATGCTCTAAGACAGGGATAGGCCACGTCGGCCCTGGAGTGCCGCTGTCCTGCAGAGTTTAGTACCAATCCAGAAAAAGAAAACAGAAAAACACAAAAACCTTGCCGGCCTGTAGCCGTAGTAATCCTGAAGACATTGATTAGCTTGTTCAGGTGTGTTTGATTATGTGTGTTCAGGTGTGTTTGAGCAAAACTCTGCACTCCAGGAGCGACGTTGCCTATCCCTGCTCTTAGCTGTCATGATTATGTGCAGATGATCTTGACAATTGCAGTGTACAGCTACCATCACCAGAGGGTGTCACTTGGTGATCAACCATACCAAAATGTTAAGCAATATTCAATGGTTTCAAAAAGTCTGAGACCAGTAGTTAAATGCATATTTTATATTTTTCAAAATACATATTTTTAAATAAAAGTGGTTTTATCGACGTTTTTTTTTTTTGAATTTCTTTTGCACCAGTTTGTCACTAAGTGACAAACAAAACTTGATCATTCCAAAGAGCATCATGTCCTTACACTGAAACTTTGACCATCTATGCAAAGGAGTCACATGATCAATGTCAGATTTACTTTAGCGATCTAGAAATAGTCTGACACATACTTATTTGAACTCATTTACATTAAAATTTTACAATTTCTAAAACTTTCAGTTTTGTCCACACTTAAATTATATTTTCTTTTTTTTGTTAACAACTGTTTATTGAGTTTTCTTTTTTTTAAGGTCAAGAAATACAAAAATACAAAGCAAAAAGCAACTATAGAAATCTGGAACCCACCCCAAACCATCCCACCCCTGGTAGACTTCAAGAAACTTAAATTATATTTTCAATCACATATTATTGAATGTGGTTTCAGACTTTTGATCCAGTGTTATTTTAGTATCATTGAATTTTATTAAAAATTTTAATTAGCTTTCATTTTTACATTTTACACTTTAATTTTAACAAAGAATTTTGTCTGTTTCACTGTTGCATTTAATCAATGTACCATTGTTTCATGCTTAAGAATTACACCTACTCCAGCTTTTAAGTCAAACTTTTAGTAGCAAAACTAGCTGCATGGTCTGAAGCAGAAGACAACAGGAAGTAGAGAGACAATGGATTCCTATTTAACCCAACGGATACAAGACCATTTTAGTGCACCCAGTGCACCCAGTGACAAAAGGAAGCTCAGATTACAAACGTTATTAGACGTTTAAGGTTGCTCCCATTTCTTCCATTCTTGCTCCTGAGTGCTGATAAACCAGAGTAAAAAGACAGCTGAGAATGAAGCTCTGTAAAGGATGAGGGGCCAAGAATAGATTACCCAAGTGCTAAGACTAAGTAAGGTGCTTGTTGAAAGGGTGCAGAATAACTGAGGGACAAGAGGTCAAGGTAGGCCAGAAACATCACAAAAGGTCTTGAGTGATGGCTCACGCGGCTCAACAACAAATCAACGCTGTAGAGCTGACAATACATTAACGCTGTTTAGTTTGATCTGTTCTTTCTGTTAAGAAGAAATAATTATAAGCACCTTCATGTTAACTGATGCACAGAAACGGTAACACTGATGTCATGTATTTAGAATAAATTAACTTCTGTAAACAATAGGGGTGTAACTATGACAAATCGCGATCCTGAACTCAAGATACGATACTTATCGCGATTTTTTTACTATTATTAAAATAATATTATTGTTGTTATATTATAATCAGGACCCACAAATATTCCCCCATTGCATTATTATACATTTTATTCAACATTAAATATAGTTTAACCCTCTGGGGACGGATTGGGCGGTAACGCCCAAAATGGCATACTTTTACAAATGTGTAAATATCTTAAAAACTATTAATGATAGAGAGGTGCGGTCTTTTTTACCATCTTCCTCAGATCCCGCTGAAAACAGTGATAACTTACCCGGCTTGTAAATATACACACTTCCTTATTGCGCAATACCACTATGTAAAGGGCCAATGAAATCGATGTTGTTTGGCAGATTCCGCAAGCAACAACCAATGGAAAAATTGCTGATGGCGAAATATTTTTCTTATCCAATCAGAGGAAGGTTACCATGACGTATCTAGCAAATCAGAGGACTCTGTAGCCTTGCAAGGGGTGATACTATATAGTTAGGGATATGACGCAAACAGCGTTGAATGGAGAGAAGGAGAGAGAGCGGAGAGAGAGCGAACGGAGGCTTACGGAGCGGATTATCAGAGAAATATGAGAGAGAGAGAGAACAATTATAATATATATATTTATATACATACAATTATAACATTATTTATTGTTTTAGCACTTTTATGATGGCAAGCAGTAAAGATTTACGGTGGGACAAGCTCTGGAACAATTACTGGAGAGTGACGAGGAGAAAGCATTGCTTAGAAAATTCTAAGCATTCCTAAGAAAAACGCCTAGGACTATTTGTAAATAAAGTTACATTTTTCATTGTTCTTTACACATTTTATTTAACAAATACACATGTCTGTCAAGCAAAGGCTTTGACAAATATATTTTTTGTTCAAAAACTGTTCACTATTGTTGTGTGATGTGTGATTTTCAGAAATAAATGACAAAAATCTAATTTCCATTTTTGAAATTCTCTAGTTTATTGTAAATTTTTCACTCATACTTCCTTTATAAACACATTACATGCATGCTTATGTTAGCTTAGGGTCTTCTGAATCCATAGATACCAAACACATAGTGTTCCATCTCCATTACATAGTTTATAAGCCCAAATGTAAAAATAGAGAAAACGGACCAAAAAGGGCTTAGTACCCAGAGGGTTAATGTAATAATTTCACTGAAACTCGGTAAACTTTTTTTTTGTTTAAATTTCCCTCACGCAGTACTCGAGCTTTCAATGCAGGCATTCGTTGGATCTCTTACACAGACAAGGCGCGTACGCACAGATGCTCCCGGTGCTCGCTATGTCCCGCCTCTCCCGCTATTAATGCACTACACATAAGAATAAACCATCTAAAACGCTTGAAATAATCATACTACTAAAACTTAATGTGATATGGTGGTTTAAATTATGTTTGCGCTTTCATTTTGAGGAGTGCCGGCAGCGCGTATGCACTTCAGATGATCAATGCAATCAATCACAGTTCTAATCGCAAGAAAACGTATCAAAATGACATCACAAACTGCAAATGGTTAGTTCATCCAAAAAATTGTATTCTGCATTTACTCGGTCTCATGTTGTTTTTGCTCAATCATTTTAACAACTGTGTTTACTTCAGTATGTGCACATTGTAAATCTGTTTATCATAAAGACATTGTGTATCTTCAGAAGACTTGGATCAGACCACTTGATTGAGTATTTTTACGATGCCTTTATGACATTTTTGGGGTCTTTAACGTTTTAGAGGAATCGACTTTAAATGGAGGGACAGCAATAATATTCAGAAAAATAATCAGAAAAAAAATCTTATAAAAATATCAAATATATAATTATAAAAAAATCTCATTTGTGTTTGGAAGTTGAAAGAAAATCTTATAGGTTTGAAACGACATGAGGGTGAGTACATGATGGCAGAATTTACATTTTTGGGTGTATTAAATCATATAAATACAGTAAGCTGAGCCTTGGATAAAACTAACTATATCGCAAATCATATCGTTTACATCAATGATATATCGTCTCATTTTTTAA